AACCTGCTGGGCTCTGGCGATCCTTCCGCCTCAGCCTTCCAAGTAGCGGGAATTACAGGCGCGCGCCACCACCCCCGGCTAATTCAAACTCACACATTTTATCATGTATAATCATTATCTGTGTCCCCGTCCATTTTCCATTAGACTGTAAATTAAACAAAGACAGCAACCATACATTTTATTTATGCATCTGTCTCCCAAGAGAGTTACCACAGTGCTTTAAATACAATAAGCATAATATTGTTGGCTAAATTTAACATTTGTTTGTGTGAGATGGAACAAGATATTTAGGGAGGTGGGAAATAACCTCCTCAACTTTAATGCTTTCCTTTTTTTTTTTTCTGAGTCAGAGTCTCACTCTGCTGCCCAGGCTGGAGTGCAGTGGCACAATTACAGCTCACCACTGCCTCAACCTCCTGGCAATCCTTCCACCTCAGCCTCTCAGGTAGCTGAGACTACAGGCATGTGCCACCAGCCCAGCTAATTTTGTTTATTTTTTGTAGAGATGAGACCTCACTCTTGCCCAGGCTGGTCTGGAACTCCTGGGCTCAAGCAATCCTCCTGCCTCAGACTCCCAAAGTGCTGGGATTACAGGTATAAATCACCATGCCTGGCCAATGCTATACACTTTTACAGCTATTAAATCTCCCCTCTGCATGACCTGAAATATTTGGTGTAGAGGGTAACTGTGTTGCACCAAGGAAGCCACCTTGCTGGAAAAAGGGCAGAACATTAAGGAAACAAGAGCAGGAAGAGACAGGCACTTTAGAAAGTTAGAATTAAAAACCAGCTCTCCATTATTAGCTGTAATTGTTTAATCATTTGCAATTAAAAATTTTCTGTGTGGTTAACAGAGTCAGATAGACCTGTTTGAATCCTAAATCTGACACTCAGTTATTTGACCTTACTCACATTGGTTAACCAATCTAAGTCCCAGTGTCTTCATCTGCAAAAAGGGAACAGTATTTATATGCTTGCTAAGAATGTTAGGATCAGATGGGCCAGAGCAGGTAAGGCCCCAGTATAATGTCTGGCATCATAAGTAGGAGCTGCCCCTCTCCCCTGGAATAGTAAACTGAGATCTGTCCCAACCACCCGGTGCAATACTGAGATGGGAAAACAAAAAGAAAAAGGTAGCAGGCCGCGATGGCTCATGCCTCTAATCCCAGCACTTTGGGAGGCAGAGGCAAGAGAATTGCCTGAATCCAGGGGTTCCAGATCAGCCTGGGCAACTTGGGGAGACTTCGTCACTACAATAAATCAAAAATTAGCCAGATGTGGTGACGCATGCCTGTAGTCCCAGTTATCTGCAAGGCTGAAAAGGAAGGATCACCTGAGCCCAGCAGGTCGAGGATATGTTAGCCACGATGGTGCCACTGCACTCCAGCCTGAGTGACAGTGAGACTGATTCAAAAAAAAAAAAAGATAAAGGTGCAACAGATCACAACACAATTAGGAAAATTTCAGGGGAGGTTGCCAAGAAAGGCCACTATATTCCTCTGAGGTCCAAATTCCTTCTAACTGGTTGTCCGCACCCCAATCCTGGTAGACTCACCGTCACCCCATATTTGAGGGCTAGTCCGGCCAGCGTGTCTCCAGGCTCCAGGCGATGCTCCAGGCGTCTTTCCCTCACTGGGGAGCAGGCCGACTGCACTAAGCTTCCATAAGAACGAGCCCGGCTTCCCTGAAGCAGTCCTGACCCCCCGAGGGGAGGCTGTCTGGAGGGAGAAGCCATCTTCTCACCCTGCCGAGCTGGGGTTGCAACCGGGGGAGGCCGGGCCAACTGACTGGGAGCGACGGCCTGAAGTCTGGGAATGGATATTCAAGGGATTCCTTTCGCCCTTCTCTCTCTCTCCTAAGTCTCCTCGCCCGCCTGGCACTACGCCTGTCGCCCCTCCCCGCTTCTCCTCCCTCCAAGCCCCTTACCCACAAATCTGTCCCGAGTATTCGGTCTCTCCTAAGCACCCCTCTGACTTTCGACCCCTCGCTACACTGACCTCTGACCTTTGAACTCTAGAAGCCGTCCTCAACACTCTTTCCTCAGTTTGCCCCCAAGTCCGGCAGCCCGGCCTCCGGGCGCCCCCACATCCCGGCTCCGACCTGTCCCGGGGTTCATCTGCTAGGACCTGGAACAAATCAGGCCCATGCCCGGTAGGCTGCCGCCGGAGAACAAGAGCGTGAGGACTACGAATTTGCAATTAGTAACTTTCCACTCGGAGATCCTCAAAGGCCTGCTCCACATCAGATAGGTCACACCCTCAAATCCTGGCTCCCCATCTAGGTGCGTGTGCCTCCAAACACCTCGAACCCGCCAAGATGCTACGGCCCGGAGCAAGCTGAGCGGCAAGCAAAGACTTCATTTCCCAAAAGGCGCCGCGTCGGCGGAGTCGCAGGGCATCATAGGAAATACAGTGTTCCCGGCGCACCAGCGGCTGAGCTTCCGGGTGGCGCGGTGCATGCGTGGAAGTGCATCCCCGGAAGTGTGGAAGCCAGCCGGAAGGGAACCGGAAAGAGGAAAGGGGACTTGTTACGGTGGCCTGGAGGAGTGGCGGAACCCGCACAAGGGAATCTATCATTTCTGGGATTTACAGTCGTGATGTCGTTCAAGAGGGAAGGGGACGATTGGAGTCAACTCAATGTGCTCAAAGTAAGCGTGAGCGGAGAGGTCTGGGGCAGATTCAGGCGCTCTCTGAAGCCTGTGAAGGAGCTTTGTTTCGTTGCTCTGGCAACAGCTTGGGGCGGGTCGGGGGGACCCATTCTTCGCCCTACGATTGTTATTCTCCCCCATAATCCTTATTACATTTGACTGCTCATGCCTATCATTTTCCTTTCATCCTTCCCTGCTATCCTGCTGATCCCGTCGGACTTCTTCCACTATCCACTGCAGAAACGAAGAGTCGGGGACCTGCTGGCCAGTTACATCCCAGAGGATGAAGCCCTGATGCTACGGGATGGACGGTGAGGGCGAGGAGCAGATCAAGCCTGAGGGTTCTGCGGTTGGAGGCTCACCAAACTTTTTTTTTTTTTTTTTTTTTGAGTCAGACGTCTGGCTATGTTGTCCCAGGCCTCGATCTCCTGGACCTAAGAGATCTTGCTGCCTCAGCTTCTCTAGTAGCAGGGACTACAGGCGCTGGATTTCAACAAACTTTTGTTACTAATCCTGTCTAGGATTCTTTGGCTGGCAGTGAGGACTGAAAGAAGTGGAGATTGGGAGATCTGGGTTGGGCTTTGGAAAGGACTGTTAGGGCCTGGTGGGACCAACAGCAGGGACCCCCTCCTCTTTGACCAGTTATTTTCTTTTTCTTTTCTTTTTTTTTTTGAGTTGGAGCTCACTCTGTCGCCCAGGCTGGAGTGCAGTGGCATGCTCACATCCACTGCAGCCTCGACCTGCTGGCCTCAGGTGATCCTTCTGCCTCAGCCTTCCAAGTAGCTGGAACTACAGGCATGCACCATTACACCCAGCTAATTTTTTAATTTATTGTAGAGATGAGGTCTCACCAAATTACCCAGGCTGGTTTCAAACCTGTGGACTTAGGCAATCCTCTCACCTCGGCTTCCCAAGTGCTGGAATTATAGGTGTGAGTGGCTCTGCGCCCCGCAGGACCAATTATTTTCTTCTCTCCCTTTCCCCAGCTTTGCTTGTGCCATCTGTCCCCACCGACCTGTACTGGACACCCTGGCCATGCTTACTGCCCACCGCGCAGGCAAGAAACATCTGTCCAGTAAGTTTGGGGTATAGAGGATAAACCCTGAAATCTCTGCAGACTACTCTTGGTGCTATATTTTAAATTCTCTTTCCCTTTTTCCTCAGGCCTGCAACTTTTCTACGGCAAGAAGCAGCCAGGAAAGGAAATGAAGCAGAATCCAAGACATCAGAATGAATTGAGGAGGGAAGAGACCAAAGCAGAGGTAATCAGAACCAGAGTGTGTGTTCCAGGCAGGACCCTGCTGCATACACCAGGCTTGAAAGGCTTTGGTTTCACTGTACCTCTGAAGGTTCTGTCTTCTATCTCCTTACCAGGCTCCTCTGCTAACCCAGACACGACTTATCACTCAGAGTGCTCTGCACAGAGCTCCCCACTATAACAGTTGCTGCCGCCGAAAGCACAGGTATATGGGATGGGAAAGCCAGAGGTAGGATCAGAATGAGATAGATGGCTTCAAAATTATAGTTTTCCAATTTGTATATTGAGGAATTCTAGTTTTCTGGAAATACCAATTGACGGGAAAAAGATAATTTTGTGATTTTATTTTATTTTATTTTTGAGTTGGAGTCTCACTCTGTTGCCCAGACTGGAGTGCAGTGTCCGCTCCCAGCCACCTAGCCTCGACCTGTTGGGCTCCGGCGATCCTTCCGCCTCAGCCTTCCAAGTAGCTGGTGGCGCATGCCTGTAGTTCCAGCTACTTGGAAGGCTGAGGTGGAAGGATCGCTGAGCCCAGCAGGTCAAGGCTACATTGGCCGTGAGCATGCCACTGAACTCAAGCCTGGGCAACAGAGTAAGACACCAACTCAAAAAAAAGAATAACATTAGTATATTTTAAGGGCTATACAATGTCTTATGATTAAAAAAATACTTTAAAAAATTTAAGCTAGCCTTTCCCAAATTTATGATTTCAGAATCCTTTTTTATGCAGAATACTTATAATATCTTGAGGAAGCGCTGTTCTAAGAGGTGGGGAGTCATAAGAGAGCTGGCCCTTTACTGCTTTTACAGACTTTGATTCTTCTCTTTCCAGACCAGAAGCCCCTGGTCCCTCAGTCCCCCGTTCACCTGTGCCACCCCCAGAGCTTGAACTCCAAAGTGGGAAGACCAGTAGGGAACCTGAGCTTAGTGCTGGCCCACAGGCCAAGGAGTCAGCAGCTGTCTCAGCCCCTGCCCCCATGAGCCCCACAAGAAGACGAGCCCTGAATCACTATCTCACCCTTCGCAGGTATGTCAAATCACTTGCCTCAGATTTTCTCTTTTCTCTTTTCTCTTTAACTCTCCTTTTTTCAAACCTACTCAACTGTTTTTGTTTTAGCCACCCAACTTACACAACTCTCAATTGTTTTTTTTTATTGCCATTAGCTTTTTTTTTGAGTCAGAATCTCACTGTCGCCCAGCCTGGAATGCAGTGGCACACTCATGGCTACTGCAGCCTCTACCTGCTGGGCTCAGGTGATATGCCTCAGCCTTCCAAGTAGCTGGAACCACAGGCATGTACCACGACACCTGGCTAATTTTTCTTTTTCTTTTATTTATTTATTTTTGAGTTGGAGTCTCACTCTGTTGCCCAGACTGGAGTGCAGTGGCTGCTCC